TAAGCCCTGCTTGTTTCAGAACTTCGCTGTGGCCCCCTCCTTTGCCTCACGTTGAGTGGGAGTAGAACCACAGAGACTCTGGTTGCAGAAATGTACATGAAACATTTACAAAAATGTTTCTGGCATCCAAATCTTATAACTGGCCTGTCCTATTGCCGTGAATGCTAGCCTGAAGTTTACTGCAAAGTAAAATCCGTGGTGATACAATGTAAAGGCAGAGAAATTATTATGGTTCTTCTCCCAGGTAGTATTTTGTCCTTTGAACGGGTAGGTGGCTTGGATAAAAGACCAGGTCTTCTCGTGATTCGGTTTCCTTGGCCCAAGGGAATGATGTTGATATATTTAATGTTTTTGTGACAAAGGTGATTTGGATAAGGACATGTTATGTGTTTTGTTGCAAAGCTTACTAGCAGTAATTTGTATAAAATGGCATAATTAGCGACTTAGGAAATTTACCAAGACATTTGGAAGTTTGTCAGATCCTATAATCACCAGCCATGTCCTACTGGCCTTCCATTTGCCAAGCTAAAACCTATGGGTCTTGATCTTCTGTTTTCATAATTCATTAGAAATTTTTATTTTCATTTTTGTTTTGGACTGAATTGAATGTACCTGCTATGGAAGGTGTTTTACAGATGGATTTTTATATTCTGTGGAAACAACCTTTGCTTTTTTGGTTAAGTAATTTATTTATTTTTTCCTAATTAAGCAGCTTTTGGTGCCTGGATTAAAGGAGACATGAGGGGCAAAGGCAGCATGGTTTTATGGAGTCTCTTGGCAGCGATAAGAAAGAGAGGAAGTTTGTGGGCAGCTACAGGAGAAGAGTTAAAGCAGGAACCAGCTCCTTTCCTAATGGTGCGAGGAAGAGGCAGTGAAGGGAGACAGCACAAAGGTAGCTGGCAGAAGGGGACAGAAAATCAACGTATCCACCTTTGCTTTACTCGCTGTGACAGTGCAAGGTGTTTGCTGTCCTAGAGGCTCATATAAAACACGGTGTTTTTTCTTTTCAAATTTTATGGGGAAGAAATAGTTAACTTCTAGAATATGAGTACTTCTTTATTTTTCCTAAATTTTAAGTGGGAAAACATAATGGGTAAGTTTGCTAATTCCTAAAGACTTTAAATGGCATTTCTGTAACTGTAATCTGCTGAATAAAGTTTTGATTATATCCCTCCCCTCTCCCCTAAATTTGAAAATAAGAATTTACTTGATTCGCTGGAAATTGCTTTTTACATATGCTTCGTTTCATGAATTCAAGTCTTTATTAATAATCTCAAGTAGATATACGGGCTGTAACTGTATAACATTTTAGAAGATTTTACGCTCTTTCTGCTTCTTTGTGTTACCTACTGTGGATCTGCTGCCTTTTATCAGAAATACTGTGCTGTGTGTCATAGTAATACTTTGACCTGAACCAAGGGTTCTGAGCCCCAAATCATGCTTGTTTTCCAAGTCTAGCAGGTATTAAAAGAATTCTGAAAGCCCTTGAGGCTGTTATGCAATAAGATCTATTAGAGGCCCAAGAACATATGTAGCAGCTGGAATAACATTTTATTATTATAAAATTGGCTAGCTTGTCCATGTTTCCAATGTTCTTTTAAATCCTTCAGTACTTTTTTTATTTTTCTGAGAATGTCAAAATAAATAAAGATGGACTGAGTATGTGGAATGTTTGGAGAAGTTGGAGGTTGCTTGTCGGCTGGGAATTTACGAAATATATTTATCCTATTACCAAAATTAAAAAACAAAAGTATGGAAACTAAACAAATGAAGGGCATTGTCTGCTCTTTGATCTTCTCTGACCATAATCTCTTAAATGGTAAATTAGTAGCTTTCTTCATAGCTGTATTCAAGCAATTCATTATCAAACCCTATAAGTCTTATTTTTTCCACTTACAAGTTGGTAATAAAAGCACTTCATAAGTGTTTTATGCTTCTGAAGTACTTAAGTATTTTAAGGGGTGGTCAAGTACTAAGCTTGAGTATTTGCTCCTAAGCAAGGGGATAGGATCTGCTTAGCGTTTGGGTGTTACCTTCAAAGGATGGTTACTTAAAGTGCTTGCCATCTTTGCTCCTCTTTAGTAGATACGGCAGCTTTCACTGGTATCCCTAACCCTAAGACCACCCATTCCATCTTGGTCTGTGTCAGTCTCTTCTTTCCTCTCAGGCTTTTCTGAACTACAAACCAGGCTGTTTTCATTTAATGTTTTGGGATGTGTCCTAAGTCACTAGTTTGCCTTTCTTGGTTTTTCATCTAAGCATTGTTTTTGCAGTATATTCTTACAAAAGGGCTTTGTGGACAGGTTTACACACTAGATGAACGTGGTCATTTCTGGAAATCTGTGGAACAGAAGGCATGCAACTGTAGAAAATAAACATATTTAGCATAGGATTCATAAGATTTTATTATTTATTTGACCATTTATTTTAGTCTCATTTTCCAAAATAACCTAATAATGTAAACAGGCTGAAGGCAGAAGAAATTAAGTTTAAGTTAAATATTTGTAGAAAAACATCTGCTTAACAGGCAGTTAATGTTTTAAGATGGGCAGAAAAAGGAAGAGTTTTACTATGTTCAATTTAAATCTTTTGAAAGCTTGGTGAAATATTTTTCTTTGATTAAATACTGCTCTCATAATCAGAAAGATGACTCCATGTCATCATTATCATCATTACAGTTCTATGAAGAAGAATTGCAATTCATTATATACAGATTCTATACACAGGATGTATTTTCACACAAGCAAAAGGCTGATATTAAAATGTCAACCTGACTTTTTTTTCCAAATGTTTTCATTTGCAAAGTCAAAATATCTTGTTGCTGAAGGATGCCTATCCCAAATAGTAAATTTTAATGGCTGATAGGCATTCATTTTTAATTACCTTTTCCTAACTCCAGATAGTTGACAGACCATAAATCAAAGTCCATAATCCTAAACATCTTTGGATATCTGTTTATTTATGTCCTTAAGATACTTAGTCAATTTGCTATCAGGTCATAAGGCTATAGACCAAATTAATTTTTTGTAATGATTGGCAGCCGAATACTGCTCTAATTCGTAGTCTCCAACATGAAATAGAGTCTGGTGGAGGGTAGTAGGCAACAATAGTAGGCAATTTATGTTTTTCCCCCAATTCTCATTCATTTTTCTGCCACATACAGAAAAGAAAAGTTCAATCACTTACACAAGTTATAAAACAGATAAACTACAGTTGTTTAAGTGAAACGTATTTTCAAAAAAATTCCTCCCATACTGAAAGGAAAAGCAATCTTGAGCCTGTAACTATTAAACTTCACTTAGACCAAATATATTGAGTGGGTCGTTGTACTGTTCAGGAAACGTCAGTCCTTATTAAGCTCAATAGTTGTATTTAGTTTTGTACAGTACCATAATAAATTCAGAGATGCATATATGTGATCATGATATTCTTCATGAAATAAGAGTTTATTCCTGGTATTTTCCTAGAATGAACTGATAGATAAGTTGGCTCACTCTGCTGTAATACAGGATACAATTATGTAGCTAAATGTTCTTTCATATATTTATGGGGTCATTTCTTCTTAAATGGTGCTTTTTCTTTTCCATCGTCTAGTTTTCTTATTCCAGGTGGATGAGTGCGAAAAAACCTATGATTCCTATGTTCATGAAGTAATTTTGAAATGAAGCCATTGAAGTCAATTAATTTATGCCAGAGTGCTTCTTGTGTCAATGTTAAACTGATCAGAAAGAAGGATTAGACTTAAGCTATTTTGCAAAGCCAGTTGTCTCATTTTCCAAGTGACTAAAACGCTGAAGTGTCAGAAGGTATAAGCGGCTCTCCTTCTGTAGCTGCAACAGGAACTGTTCTCCATTTGCTCTCTGCCCATGTAACTTTGTCTACAGTGGTTTAAGTTAACCTAGCTGACCTTGTGATATGTGAAGGTTAAACCCTGTAGCTGAGAAGAACATACCCAAACCATTATCCAAACCAAAATGTGAGGCCTCCTGTTTAGAGGGTAGGAAAATATTGTTTTTGCAGATAAATATGCAGCAGCATATTGGTTTGAACTATCGATCTTTGAGAAATTGTGAGTGAGACTTTGACAGCCAGGTGCAATAATGATTTAATTGGAGGTTTCCTGTTGCATAAACCACAATCAAAAGTACAGGTTTAGACACCAAGAAAGAGCTGGGAGACCGCACAGGTTTGTTTCTCCCTCCCCGTTACAGCCTCTCACCCCTCTTCCAGCCAGGCATATTGAAGTGAGAACCACCCTAGAGCTAGGCAGGAAAGATGCCAGGCCCAGAACTGCGTATGGACTTCTGCCCTCTCCACTGATGAGGGGACTGTGGCCGGGCTACACAGAAACATTTCATCTGCTCGTGACCTGGTACACCTAATCATGCCCAACTGTTCCTGAACTGATAAATACCATAAGAATAAGCATTTGTCCCATAGCATCTCTTTTGCATTTTGGCCTAACTTACCTAGGAACCCGATGCAGAACGGGGGATAGCTGGGTGTTTAGAGCATTCCCACTGGGTGTGTAAGATGTGTCCTTGAGCCCCTGCATGTGGAATGGCATTGAATTCCTGTTGCCCTTAAGGGGCTGCTTTTAAGAGGTTGTCCTACCAAAGGTAGGCTGCCACAGGCTGTCACATGTACACTGAAAACTCCATCTAAATGTGCTTTTGCTCAGTTTTACTAGTGAGCATTAGATGTGTTCTGCATTGCCTGTTGTATTGCCCTGACTTGGGGATTAGCTTTCGTTCTGTTGCTTATTTTGGATATAGAGCAACATGGCTCTTTGAGAGCAAACAGAGAGGAAGTAAAAAGAAGCCACTGATGGTGGGTTGCATCAGTTTTGCTTCTAAAAACTATCTAACCTATTACTTTTGGTGTACATCTGCCTCCTTTGAGTCATGTGAGTGCTGTTATCTAATTCCTGCTACATAAGGGGAAAGCACAGAACAATTAGTTAAAATTGGGACTGTTTTTTTGTGATTTTTTTCTTACAGGAAACAGATTCGAGCTCTTCTAGGACAGTTTAGCCAGGCAGAGGCTTTGTTAACCTCAGCTGGAGTGGAGCCCGGGACCCTAGATGGAGTTCTCTTGGATGCTGGCTGTTCTTCAATGCAATTTGATACGCCTGAAAGAGGTTTTTCCCTGCAGAAGGATGGTCCTTTGGACATGAGGATGGATAGTGACAGGTACTTATTAATAAAAAAATTTCTCCTCAGAACTCCAAAATGTATCGCTCAGCAAAACTCTCTGCATTTCATTTTAAGCTGAAGAATTCCCCTCATGAAACCACATCCTTTTTTGCTCTAGGCCTCTCTATTTTGCCATGAAGGTTCTCCAGACTTTAATTGTTAGAACCTTGGTTATATTTTTTTCACCTCCCTGAAATAAGAGGGAAGATCCAATAATGACTATTTTAAAAAAGATTATTTTTGTGACATATAGTATATGCAGTTATTGGGCCAACTTTTAATGCAAGACTGAAATATTTTTAATAACCTTAGGTGAAGAAACTGCCAAGTATGATGAGTCTGTATGATGAATCTGTTGGCAGGTCGCAGAAGTGAGCCCTTGGGTTAGGCTTTCTATATCGTCTCCTATAGTGAATTCACAACTTCACAAGCTTTTAAAGTTTAAAAACTTATTTACTAACTTGAATTTTTTTTCTCTCTTTTACTTGAGAATTGACTGGGTGAGACAGATTTTTTTTTCCCTTTTCCCTTTAAAATTTGAAGTTAGTGCTCTTTTTTTGCTCTATAGTTTCTAGACTTGGTTTCAGCAATGCCATGACTAGCTGCATTGCAGCAAGCTCAGTCTGCTCTGGCCCCTAGGAGGCTGTTTGTCTTTTCTTCACTTGGAGGTCTCTTATTTCAGCAATTTTTCAGGTTCTATTTGGTGTGCAGGCTCACAACGCCTTGCTGAGATCTCTTTACTTAACTGCCACTTATTTGTACAAACTTCACAAACTGAACGCTGGTCAGTTCCTGCCTCAGGAAAGGAGCAATCTTTTGAGGAGTGGCCATCTTGACCCAGTTACTTCTCCTTAACGTGAGTTAAAATGGGAAAAAAAAAGTCTTCCATACCTGTCAATTAAAAACACAGAACAACATTGCCTCTAATGTAAGAGTATGATTTTAGTTCTGCACAAACTTGTTTTTTTACTGTAAGCTTTCCTCTACAATATTATAAGTTTCCTTTCAAGTAGTGTAAAAGGCATATCAGGCTTACTTATGTCCCAGATTAAGAGCTACCAGTCAATTTCATGTTTACTTAGATCAACGGAATTTGTCTTGAGCGCATTCAGTAGGAGGAAAAGCAATAGTAGTTCAGCTTATTCAAAGAATAAATTTCTATTTATGTAGGAGTTTTCATCTTTAAGCAAGCTGATATAAGACTAAGGTGTTTGTGTAGGTGATGGTGACTGCATAATGCATTACGAGGAAAGTGAACATTCCTCGCCCAGTGTTTTGATGAACCTTTAGTCTTGGGAAATGTCATTTGACCTTTAACTGTTCGCATAGAGCCTGTGGGGAAACCTCAGTTACTGAGAAATTATTCAGAAATCTTAACCCATAGCAAATTTCATGATACTTTTTTTTTTCCCCTTCAGTGTTGTATAAAAAAACCCAGATGATCCCATTGGGATTCAGCCCTCTTGATTTCAAGAGTCTGAACTTGAGGCTTGTATTTGTATCGAGAGAATACAAACATGTAACAGTACCATGAGGGCAAAGGATACCTGTGGCATAACAAAAGCCTGCACTACAGTTGTTGCTATGATACAACTTGCCTCTGATTTCCAAGTTTTGTTATCTTTTGCGAGATACTGCAGGAGGGTAATAAATGGCTGACAAATATTCTGCAGGGTAGAAGAGGAGAATTTATTAAGCAGTGGATTGTACGTCCTTTCCACATTAGGAAACTGTATATAATGTTTATAAAATACCTTGAACTCTTTTAGTAATGAAGTGATGAGAAAGTATGCCTGATGTATGTATTATTCATATTTTAATAGTTCTTTTCCGTTGTAACATTAGGTCATTTGTATTCCCCCCCAAACAATTTTTGAATATAAATTCTGATGTCTTATAATGAAAACTGTATTTTCATAAGCAACGATTTTCATAGCAGTAGATGTGAAAGATCCTTGAGATCTGAATAGATTCTGAATAGAAAATAACATATAAAGAGTCATTAAAATGATCTGTAAGGGACAAGCCTATATTCCAAAGCTGTCTAAATAAAAACAGCCACAGAGCATTTCCATTTTAGCGTGACACTGACATATTTATTCTTGTCAACTCATTAGGCATAGTTGTATTGTAATGCTTGGAAGTTGAAGCTAGTCTGATTACTGGTAAAGAACATACTCCATGTAAAGTAGCAAGAAACAGGATTGAAAAGGTACAAGCCCTCTCTGTTTTCATAGGATTCCCGTCTCATTTAAAAACCTCCAAGGCACTTGCATGCCATGTGTGTGTTTGACTTTGTGTCTCGATGCTATGAAGCTTCACCCCTTGTCAATGCAAACTGACGTCAGGGAACTAATTGGCTGCTCTTGTGCGTAGGTACCCTGACATGCCCACTGCTGCTGATGTTGTGAACGCTTTAGATCAGGCGGCGCTTGCGTCCGTCCTGAGGACGTATGGCGAGGAGAGGCACGCCAAGCAAATCGCTTCAGCCATCGTTCAGGCACGCAGCGTGTACCCCATCACCAGAACGCAGCAGCTCGCAAGCATTGTTGCAGGTACCCTCATTAATTCTTCACAGTGGCTGCGAGAGAAAAAATATTAATCCCCCAAGTCCCGGAGGGATCTATTTGTACTCGAAATCGTGCAGGATCTAATCCTCCCTGTTCTGCTCTGATGTCAGCTCGCTCTTTTTGCATTTTGTAAGCTCCCGCTTTTTCTACTGTAGTTTGCCGATTAGTATAATAATAGATTTTACATCAGGTGATTTATTTGTGCCAACCCAATTGAAACACGGAATGACAGCAACCTAGAGAATTCTTTGTCCCAGCTATGGGTAAGCCTTCAAATATCACATATATCATATGCTTCTCTTAATTTTAAATTGCTACTTTTTAATATTTTGGAGAGAGTGGGGTGTACCACACCAGCTTCCAATTACAAATGAAATTAGATTATCCCTTCCCTTAAAGAACCAGAAAGCAAAAAGGATATATAGCTTCCCTCTGTGAATGCCAACCAGGTCAGCCTGAAGCGCCTCTTGAAATGCTTTATCTTACTTCCTCTCTGCTGTAAACAACTTGAATAAAATGTTACTGGGCACTACAGGGGCCTTAACTTTAGTGTTCTAGGGCAAGACTTTTAAGGGAGAGAAATTAGATACAAATATTATTCCTTAATGTTATTTTTTCCAAGAAAATAAAATTACTGGGTCTTGTTACACATGTCCAAATTGTTGACCCCTCTGAATATAGACCTTAAAACTGGCTATCCTGATTTAACATTTAGTATAGAGTTTGCATGTAAATCCAGAAAATCTTTAAAATTCCCATTTTCACAAAAATTATATTAGCCAAATTGTATGTTTAATAATAATTAATAAATGATAATTAATAGAAGAGTAATTGACGATGGACAGATATGCTAGTAATTAATAGTAAACCTTAGTAAGTTTAATAGGGCTTCTTTTAAAATTAACAGCTTGTGAAATTTCTAAAACTCACCAAACAGAAGCTTTGGATCTGTGTAAGTCAGGATACTTGAGCAAGTTGTCAGGTTACCCCTGGCCCAAAGGGGTAGCTGGTGTGATAAAAATACCTGAATGAGGTGTTTGCTGTAGGAAGACTGACTGATATGTATGTGGAGAACAAACCATGTTGAACAGCTAAGTAAATCATTATGTGATTCTTTAATAATATTTCATTTTTAAAGTAATTATTATCAACTTTGAGCTAATAGTTTACAGAGTTTATCATACGTATCATGCTCTTTGGCAGACTGTTAGTTAAAGGTATACCTGTTTTGCTCTTAAAATAAATAAAAACACTTCCAAATACACTTTGAATAAAAAGCAGTGCTCAAATTTGGCTTCATGTTTAATGGCTTACCTGTGAGTCATCGCCTCATGGGCACTTTAGGTGACAGTGAGAGGTTTTTTGCATTTTAAACTCTTACCTCTACTTGAGGAGCAGTTTGGTATGTGAATCTAGTATGTGTGTATAGTATACATGCCAAAGAAAATCCAGCGTACTTCCACCAGGGATGATTGGTAAATGCATTCTAGTTTTATGTACCTTTTCAAGGTAAGCAAAAAATTTTAACATTTTTAGTTTGTTTTAATAGTTTTTTATTCAGATGGGTACCTATTTGGGTAGAATTTATTTTGATTTCTCTAGTGAAGAGCACAAGTGTTAAACTGATTATACTCTTAGAGAAATTCTAAATAATAAATAATTTGCAAATAAAAGAGGAAACAAACCACCAAACACTGGTTACAACATTGTTTTTGTAATTCATCATCTCTCATGGATATATGTTCTGCTGCAGAATGATACCCATGAAGTAATGGAGGTAAGCTGAAGTGCCAGACACCAGCACCTGCAGAATTCCCTTGGTGGCCCAGCACAAAAATCTCAGACTAATTAAAGATTAAAGCAGAATAGTATCTATGACCCATCTCTCTATGTACTGTGCCAAATGAAGAATTCCTACAAAGTGTTTTGCTTGGTATGTTTTTCTAAATGCTCTCCAAAAGGCTTCTGATCCATTGAAATAAGCAGACTACTTTGCTGCAAAATTCATAGCTTAGTTGGGCATAAAAGGAGGACTGCTGTTCTTGTAGAATTATTAAAAATCAGAGGCTTAACCAGATACCTTGCAAACCTGATACACTTAAATCTTGAAATCTTACAGGATGTCATCTTACTCCTGTGAACAGGGTCTCTTTCTGCTATGCAACTGATGCCGCTCAGTTTATATTGCTTTCACACAGAATGCTCTGTAAATACTAGGTTCTTAACTGAAGAACTGGGAACAGATATTTGGAGTTGACTGAGAAGCCCTTTCCAGTGACTTTTGTTAGTTGAGTGGCCAGTTGAGTTGTATTTGGAAATGTTAGGCTTAACGCTTACTACTTAAGTATTGCTATGACAAAAAGTTTATTTAAATTGTTTAAAAATTAATTCTTATTTTCACTGTAACTTTAGTATACTTTTTCTACATTCTTGGTAATTTACTTGGATTTTACTTGGTAATATATATCTTGTTATCTCTTTCATTGTATTCAGAACTTAATTTTTCTCAGGATCATATAGATAGGTAATCTCTTAGCAGGTTATTTTGGGATAATGTAGTCATTCGGAGTTAACAGAAATTGATGAGGAGCTGTTAAATCTAAAGTTTTAAAAAGAACTAGTGGGTAAAGCCAGTCTCATCCAGCTCTGTCCACATTTATAAACCTTAATTATCAGTTTGAAATTTGTAATATTGCCTGAATTTCAGATGAGTGTGAATTAACAGCGTACTAAGGGAGCCTAGACAAAAGGACATTAGTTGCGTCACAGAAACTTATTAAATGCAATGCTAATTCAACAGACAGATTCCTGCAAACAGGTGCGGGATCTGAATTAATTTCAAACTCTCCCACTCTTACACTCTAGGGACTTTAATAGTTCATATTGACAGGCACAGCACGTTGCTAATTTCTTTCGCAAGCTTAAAAATTTCAATGCATTTTAACACGTAAATTTATTAGATTTTTAAAAGTGCTACTGCATGAGGGCATCCCAAACCTAAAAATGATAATTTCTCTCACTGGGATTTCAAACCAGTCATCTAGCCAGAAGCATGGTATTTTTATGAATGAAATCCATTTTACAAGCTTCCCATATCATTTTTTCCTATTACTGTACATTGTACAGCCTATTACTGAGAAGGATTTTTTAGTGTCATAATTGGAAAGAGCTGGGTGAGGGATCTTGTTCCTTAGCAGAAAGTGCAAACAGGTTATTGTTTAATTAAATAAGGATTAACATTGGGATAGATTTTTTTTTTTTAAAACCCCAGAATAGATCAAATCACCTGCTTGCACTAAAATGGAAGGGTGGTGGTATGACAAAAATCACAATTACAAATTATATTTATTAGTTATTATCTCTGAAGACAGAGCAGTATGTTATGAATATGGTTTCGTTAGGGTTTTTGTTGGGAGGAGGTGGCTATATAAAGCTAAAATATTGCTGTGAATATTAGGGTTATGTACTGCTCTATATGACCTGCGTTACTTTTTGGGAATGTTCATCTGAGGCATACAAAACTGTTTTATACCTATGGAAATCTATTTATACTTATAGTATAAATATATACTCTATACTATATATAATCTATAATAGATAAATAAATTATATATTTAAGTATATTTCTTCAACACCTGTCATAAATCTCTATACTAAGGATTCAGTTTTCAAATCTAACTTTTACTTTACAGATACTTCAAGGCACAGTTAATTTATGTTGCAGGAAGACTCTGCACTCTGCCATGACCATGCATTTAGAAGAATCTTCCCAAGATGTTTTAGTGTTTTAGTCATCCTGGTAGCCTGAGTTCCTCATCCTTTTATTTGTGCATGCAGTATTGCAGTTGCCAAAGCACAGAGTGGTGTTTGTGGTCAGACTGTAAAAAACCTGATCAGATAGCACTGTTTCCCGTTTCTAGATTTTCACAAAGGTAATTTTGAAGCAGAGCAAATATTTGTGTAATTCTTCTTAGTTCAGATAAGTAAAAGGTATTTTGATGACATAGAAGGTGAAGCTTCCTGTAGCTGACTAAATTCAAAGGTTACATTCTAAGTTTCTGTTTTTATGGTTAGTCCCCCCAAAAATAGACACAGGTTTGTACTCAGATTCCACCCTGACCCCTTGTGCCTTGATTTCCCTTCTGTCTGTGATGCTTTGGGGAACCTTTAATAATCTTAAGAATGTTGGGAATGGAATGGATTGTCCCTAGAAAAACAGCAGTATTTTTAGAAAATACTGTAGCGTTTAGACTGTTAATGTGATACTTAAAATTTCTGGGTCCTGCTTGGAGAAGTGAACATAAGCACTGAATGGTAACAGCCAAAATTGAGCTAAGGTTTAAAAAGTCCTAGCTGTTAAAGTGGCAGGAGAAAAGAGGTGCTCTGTAAAGCTTAATGGAATAACAGAGGTAGAACTGGAAAACACTTTCCATTTTCTAATCTGCTAGCTTTCTAGTAAGCTTTATTTTGTAAGGGAACGGTGCTTTTTCATCCTATTTTGAGCTGTTTTCAGTAAGTGAAGTTGAGGGATGGTTTTGGGGAGTGGGAGAGGCAGGTTGGAAGAGTTATTTTAAATATTCTTAAATGTGGTTTTGCAAAAAGCAAAAAACAGGCTTGTGGAGTAAAATCTTTTACAAAAACAGTAAAAATAATTTTTTGCCTTTACACAGGAGCATTACTTGCTCAATTTACCTAAACCAGGCTCCTGCATTCATTTATGTAGTAGATGATGAATTTATGCAGGATTATGAATTTTCCAAGGCTTTTGCACTTCAGACTTTGGCTTCACTAGCCCTTAGTTCTTAACTCTTTAGCTCTTTGTTACTTTACAGATAATGAAAATTAGATAATCACAGAGTCTCAGAATGGCTGAGGTTGGAAGGGACCTCTAGAGATGATCTAGTCCAACCCACCCTGTTCAAACAGGGACACCTAGAGCACATGGCACAGGGTGGCATCCAGGTGCGCTTTGAAGATCTCCAAATCGCTCTTTACCCTCACCCTACTCCTGCTCAGTAGATATTGAGGGGAATACACGGTAAGGCACTTACAGTCTGACTTTGTGTGCCTTCTACTGTCTTAGACGGACCCTGAGGACAGACATCTGGATGGTATTGACAGAAGTGACCTTGCCACGAAGTAGCAACAGCTGTCGAATACTGCAGGAGATGTCCTAAACAAGAACCATGTTTTTCCTTCCAATTGCATAAATCACAATAATTCTATGATCTTTCAATAATATTTCACAAAAATATTGACAAAATTAGGGGGAAATGTAAATCAAATTAAGGGCATTTCTCTGTGACCTCTACGACTTTCCATGAGATTCTCATAATTTTAACACTCCTAACCTGCCTTTTTAACCTCTCTTTGCCCTCGGGTCTACTGCCCCTCTCTGCCCTCGAGCCAAATTTCAATCTCTCTTTTCTCTCTTTGCTTCTACAGAGAAGTGTATAATTCATTAGAATTTGGGGAAAAGGAGGAGGGAATCTTATGGAAGCAGTCTAAATTATTTAATCTTTTGATTTTTTAAAAAAAAAAAACTAATGCATACTCTGACAGTTACTACTCTAAGCGTGTGAGAGCAGCTATATCAATTGCTTTCTGTAAATTTTTGAGGGCTTTTTGTGAACATTAGAAGCAATCAAGACACAGATGAACAATTCTCATACTCACACAAGGGTGCCTCTTTTAAGCTTTAAATAATTAGAAAGGTATTTATCAGCTGATATGAATTGTCTTGCTCTTGTCTGTCTGTGAATTAATGCATAATGATGTAAAACACAATATTTAAAATTTGTCTCTATCGTAATGTATATAGTTTTTTGCCTTAAAAGCAAAAAACAAGCCACAGCAAAGAAACACTGAGCTGTCTAACTACTGAGTTGTAAGGCATATAGGTTTTATCTAGTCTGCCTTCCTTTTTTCCCAATTTTAATTTCAGCTGTTACTTTGTATTATAGCTTTGTGAAGCATTTGAGGAAGGAATTTCTATGAATGGTTCTAAGGAGAGAGGAGAGAAAAAAAAAAAAAAAAAAACAACTTAAGCCAGCTCAGTTTAATAGGGCTCATTTTCTGAAATGAGAGTTCAGAGCAGACCAATTTGATGTATTATAAAGAAGGAAGCTCACTACTCTGGGTTCAATTGTAAGTATACTTTTGTTTAAAGTCAGCATACATGAGTGGATCCATGTCAGCAGTATAGAAATAAGAAAATGTTAATATTATATTTTTCAATTTTGACAGGTGCTTTTCCAGCATCAGCACTGTATGCACGTAAAGACTTGCTTCAGAGACCTACCCATGTTGCTACCAAAACTTTCCAAGGACTGCGAATATTTGTCAATGATGAGCTCCATGAGCTCCTTGCGGGGCTGAAGACTGCCGAGAGGTTTCTGAAATCTGGAGGTCGACTCGTGGCTCTTTCTTTCCATTCTCTGGAAGATCGTATCATCAAACGCTTTCTTTATGGAATAGACATGACAGAAAAGTACAATCTGAGCTCGAGGCAGAAGATAAGGCAAGGTCTGAAAAAGAGTCGGGAAGAAGATACAGAAGAATCTCCTACTGCAAAATCCAGCTCAAAGTGGAGTTTTATACAGAAAAAAGTTCTCACACCCCAGGCCAAAGAGATTCAAACAAACCCAAGAGGGAGATCTGCCAAGTTAAGAGCTGCTGTTAAACTCTAAAACAATGTATGATTATAAAAATTGTATGATTCCCTAATTTTTTGTTTTCCAAAAGAATAACTGGACAGATCAAATTGAAAAATAAAATGGAAAAAAAAAACTTTTCTGTAAAGTCTTTTTTGTGCTTTTTTGTTACAGGGGCATTGAAATGTAGAATACAGGTAGATGAGAGGGTGTCAATTATTATCCAGAAGAGACTTTTAAACAAGAATTATTCTTTTTAAAAAGAATATTAAAACCAATGTTTATAAAAATTACAGTTTGGGTCTATTACATTTTTTTCTTTAGACTTAATTCAGAATTTTGTCATTAACGATCTAAATTAAGTAGCCAGTTGATACAGATGCATTTTTTGTGGGGCTTGATTTAGTACATCTAATTCAGATTATTAATCTGATGTAAATTTTAAAGTAACCTAAGAATATATAAAATTGTCTCCCTATTTTTTCATTATTTGAATGTCTGTAGAACTATTTCAAGAGCTAGTTCCTAAATAAATTAATAACAGTACCTAATGTTTTATCCAAGAATTCATAAATGAACTTTTTCTTCTTCTAATTAGTAAATACTTAGATTATCTAAGTGATCAACTGGTTTATGTAGTATTTACGGCATCTAAAGCATGAATGTTTTGGGAGAAAAAAAAGATGCTTAATTTCACTGCTTGTCCCCAGACAGAAAAAGCAGCAGTAACTGGAAGAAGTTTTGTAGTAGATGATTTTAATTTCTTCTTGTGTCCCTAACTTCTGTGAATAGATCTGTAACATTTTGTCTGTTGATTCAATTATAATTAACCCACCAGAAACAGGTTTTGTGGGCCTTACGCTGTGTTCTTTTTTGCTGGTGAAATTTATTAAGGGTTGCCATTTAGGTAAGTAGTAAAGTATTTTCAAGCAGCTGATTGTAACATGAGATTCCTATTTGGATACTGTTCTAACTAGTTTGATAAAGCTAATTAATATGAAATTGATTTTTTTTCTGATCTTGTATTTTACCTTACAAGACTGTTGCTTTGTTATCTTAAAGATAACTGGAAGCTAGTGCAAGTTTTTCAGCTTTTTTGATCTCTGACTCATCTCTTCAGAAGGGTGGAAAAAAATCTTATTTGGTTTTAATTCATTTGTAGCAGGATTTGACTTTGTATAAACCTGGAGCATGGCTGGTAGAGTAAGTGCAATTTCTGACTCTTGAGTTAAATGATTACTACGCTAGCTTTGGAAAGAAAACTGTTTTTTTAAACTCAATATTCATCAAACATCCTCTTTGTATTGTTGTAAACAGGATTATTTCACTGAAGTTGTTCGAGTCATCAGATTTCAACAAGTTGAATTTAGTTTTCCCATCTATAATACATGCTATACTGAAATATGTGTATATTGTTTAATTCTTTGGTAAAGCCAAGTCATCTAATGTCAGTGGTATTCTTAGGTGAGTATACATCATGACATCCATCACTAGTGTGAAATAACCCCTGACTGATGATGGGTACTTCATATTTTCCTGAAATTTCAATATTTTTCCTGCTTTCATTATATGTGCTATTAAATATTAAATACAGCATTCCACTTCAAATAATATTTATTGTTGACATCATAGAGACAACAAACTGTACCTTGAATAGATACTTTTCTCCTCCAAACATTAAATATAAATAGCAAAAGGTATTTTTGGTTAAGATATATTGCAACATTCTGCAATTATAAATTGAAAAAATTAGGCCTCTTGAGTAGGCATAGAAGAATTGTAATGCAGGATTTATGGGTTATTCAGGGATGCACATCAAGAAGACAAGTTGAAGCATCAGTAGGAGGTAAATATCTGTATTTCAGAGATTATATTCCAGTATTCCTTATTATTATTTCAAATTGCTTATGCCTAACTGTTTAAAAAACACACTCCTCCCATCTAATTTCAAAGGCATGGTTTCTTATGCTGGTTGCTGAGATTTGATACTATATTTCTCTTCTCACACAGAATCACAGAATGGTTGAGGTTGGAAGGGACCTCTAGAGATCATCTAGTCCAACCCTCCCTGTTCAAACAGGGTCACCTAGAGCACGTGGCACAGGACTGCATCCAAGTGGGTTTGGAAGCTCTCCGCAGAAGGAGACTCCACAACCTCTCTGGCAGCCTGTTCCAGGGCTCTGTCACCCTCACGGGAAAGAAGTTCTTCCTCACATGGAGGTGGAACTGCCTGTGTTTTAATTTGTACTCATGACCCCTTGTCTGGTCACTGGCCACCATGGAAAAGAGTTTGGCCCCATCTTCCCTACATTCACCCCTCAGGTACTTGAACATGTTGATCTGATATCCTCTGTCTTCTCTTCTCCAGACTAAACAGGCCCAGCTTGCTTAGTCCTTCCTCATACGATAGATGCTCCAGTCCCTTAATTATCTTTGTCGCTCTGCGCTTCCTTGGCATTAATTGTGAGTTCTGCAACCGTGGTGGGACATCAGTCACTGAGCCCCTGAACTGGTGCTTTGAGCTGCTGATCTGGACAGTGTGCATGGGTCTTAATTTCTGCTACTTTGGAAGTGGAATATCCTGTTTTTCCCCAGAGAAACTTCTGTTTGTCATTAGTCTATGCATTCTTGTATCTATGAAGTGTTTTGTTTACATTTATTAGATAAAGTATTTAAGATTCTTTCCTTTCAAAATGCAGGTGTGCATAGCATGTATTAAAGTTTCCTCACATGCTGTGTGTGAGATATTAGTAAAATTAGTAGAACTAGTAGAACTAAAATGTTCACCATGATCAAAAGTGTTATTTGTGAAGGAGACAGTATCTGATGAAGATTATAGTCTCTCTGTAAATGAAATCATGCTGTTAAGACACAAATCGTACATAGTATCTAGAATATTGCCATTCAATCTGAGCTTTGTTCATTCCAATAGAACTAGATGCAGGATAATCTAAGGGCAAAAGCCTTTTGTCCAAGTTTACGAGGAATATGATAATACTGTGGTGCTAAACATGACAGGAATAAGAGAAACTTGAGATTGTTAGAGAAGAATATCCAGTAACGGTTGTGGTGATGGTGCTATTGCCAAACAAAATGCATGTGCAGAGAATATTGCAAGAGTACTTAATATTTTTTCACACCAAAACTTCAGAAATATGTTAAAAATGAAAGCAATGACAAAAACAGGATCAGAAACTAGCTACGTGAGTACTTCTATCTTGTAAACATGCTTTATTTTGAACTGTTACCAAAAGCCTGATTTAACTGGGTAATCCATGCATGGGTAAAATGCTGATATTTTTCCAGGCTAACGTACCTCTCTGGAGAAGAGATCCATGGTAGACAGTAGTAGAACACAGAATAATTACCTGAAAATTAGACACAATTATACTGTAAAAAAGATTTTATAGTAAAATACTTTCTAAAAAAGCCCCATAGTAAAGGATAAGCAGTTAGCTGTATTTAAAGCCTGTTTAACGCCATGAGAGTTCCATAGCTCTTTTGTTGCTTCACTATTACTGCCTTAAAATTAGTTTCATTTCTTCAGAAGGTAAAGACCTAGTATGTTACATTTTTGATGTTGTAAACAAGGGATATCTTTTTCATGGTATTTAAAAAAAAAAAAAAATCTATCGCAAATGAGTCAGTGCATCTCATGAGTCTTATAGTAACATACAAAGAATGCCATGTGAGAGAAATTATTGTTAAAGATGTCAAGATTTGTATAGATCTTCTAAAGATTTTCTCATGGTAGCTTGAAGGAGATTGTACACTTAATGTACAAGTGAGGGGAAGAAGTTATTTCAGTAAACACTTCTGGCAGTGGTTACTTTCTAGTAGCAAATACTGCATGTAGCTTTGTTTACGGCTTTCTATAGGAACATTTGTATTATTTATTAGTAACAACCTACATAATAGTAATGGCTACAATATTCCTTTTTGTTGCAAAAAAATGGTTTTAATTGGAGAGTTCATGCTCTAAAGAGGTCCCTGCTGTGAGGGAAGAAGCAAGAGAAAAAATGCCTTGAGGTATGGGTGATGGTGCACATGTGGGATGATTTCAATTAGCAGTCTTAGGTACGGATTGTTGTTGGTTTTATTAGATTAGTTTATTTTAAACTTAGACATCAGTCTTGACTCTGTACAGCGATACTCAATGCTTGTGAACAATGAGAGGAATTTGAATGAACAGGAAAAGTAATGTAGACCAATAATAGACCAATTGATTGCTGTCAACCCATTTAACATCCCTACCTCTATCAAGATTAATAAATGGTTCATACTTCCTTTTCCTTGTACTCCAAAATAGGACTATTTATACTCAGATTACACCATTCAGTACACTATGGGAGTCTGTATAGGCATATATTTATTTTTCTGCTTATAGTAGCTGTTTAAAACTAATCTCTAGTTGGAAGTAATGTGGCATTATAATTTTTTTTCAGAAGTGTAATCAAATAGCTACCTTTTTACACTCGAGATATTCTGGAATTAAAGTAGACTTTTGTGGATTAATTAAAAATTGTGGTGCTGCAGTGAATCTTGTAAATAATTTAAATGAATGTAGAACAAACCCTTTTCTCCCTTCCTCCCAGCCACTCCGGAAGATGAAACAGAAAAAGTTTAAGTAAAAAGTAAAGGGGAAAAAAAAAGCTCTAAAACTTGTAAAAATTGAACACCACCTTCAAAAATAATTTATGGTGAGGTTGGATAAGTTGACATCCAGAAGAATTGTGTATACATTGATGCAGCATTCTGTTAAGTTGTCTTTATTAATTACCTGATTTTTCCTGTTTTAGGATGACTGTGTGACTCGTAGTTCTACCAGTCCCCATACTTGGACACCGAGCATGGTTCCTAGTGAATAATCACAGGTACCAACAGGAAAGTATAGCTGCTTTTAAACTTGCATCTCTATTTTTAATCCCTCTCTCTCCTATGCAGTTAAAATTGTTTTATCTTTCTGAATTCTCCTGTGAAATCACCCTTCTCTGAGTGAGAGGGGGAAAGGCTTTTCATTTTTAGAAAGCTATAATATGCATCCCCCCAA